AGTTTTTTTTAATCAGACAGCTATAACTGAATCTGTCAGTTTGAGTTTTTCTCAGATTCTTTGTTTTCCCACCTTCATTTCATCTCATCTTCTTTCTACATCACTTAATGACTTTCAAAAATGCAGTTTGTCCTCTATATTTGCAGATTTGAATTTGGCAGATCTGATTATTCCTGATTCAAATAATATTTTCTTCTTAGGAATCTCTAGGTCCTCCAGTGCATTTCTTTGATCAACTTCTAGAGGACGTTGACCATAAAGTTATGCTGGAGCACCTAGAGATTCCCAGAGAGGCATTATATCAGGTTAAAATAGGGATCCTTCTTTTATTTACAATTTTCCCACATTTATGGGGAGGGGGTCCCTGCATCCCGAATCTGAGTGAATTTGGGATTAAGAAGTACAGGTAGTTCCCAAGTTACAAACATCTGACTTAAAAATGACTCAAAGTGTTGAGACAACAGGAAGTGAGATAAATCTACCCCTAAAAAGGGAAATCCACTCTTGGAAGAGTTATGGGGCAATGAGGCTTTATCACTAATCCTTGTTTCCACAACAAGCTAAATTTTTCCAAATTGCAGAGGCAGGAAGTTAAGCGAAATCTTCTGAACAGGGGCACAGACAGCAAAACAAACACTACAATGGTGTTAACACTGTACTGACTTCTTCAGCTGGTGCCTCAATAAAAGCTCAAACAAAATTTTCCCAACACTAATTCAGGCCACAATGATATACACAATTTATTATATGCAAATATGTGAATAAGCCAATGTGGCTGCATGCATGGTAAAGCCCTGGAAAACATGAAAAAGCAAAAGCACATGTATAAAGAATGGAAGGAAGAATGAATCACCATACAGATGTGTAGCCCAGGTTTACAGGAATAGTCTAAGGAAATATAACACTCAAAATGAGCTAAGACTAGCTAGGCAAGAAAGAAGTAAGAGACAGCTGAAAGGTGGAATTTGTGCTCATCAAAGATGGTAAAATGCTAATAAATCACAATGAAAAGACAGAACTTTTCAATACCTACTTTGCATTAGTTTTTCACCCAAAAGGGGACTGTGTGCACCCAGGAATCAGCAGAGTCCTTGGTAAAAAAATTCCGGTTGAAAATCAAGATCATTAAGGAGTTAGTCAGAAATCACCAAGTAAACTTCAATGGATTCAAACTGCCGGGATAGATGAATTGAATCCCACAATATTGAAGGAGCTTGCTGACATATTTGCAGAACCACTTGCCATCACTTTTGAAAAAAACAAAACAAAAAACCCTGCAGAATGAATGAAGTGTGAGAAGACTCATGAGCAAACATTGTCTCTCTTTTCAATAGAGTGAAAAAAATCAGAATCTGCAGGCCAGTCAGCCTGAGTTCAATGCCAGGAAAAATATTAGAACAGATCAGACAGTTGCCTGTTTTCAAGTATCTTGGTGACAATGCCGTAGGAACTAGCATGAGTTTGTCAAGAACAAATCCTGCCAAACTAACCTTGTAGCGGTCTCATAGAGTAACCTGAAGGTGAAGGTTACAAAATATCTTCCAGGGTTTGGTCTGTTTCTCTCTCTCTCTCTCTCTCTCTCTCTCTCTCTCAATTGTAACAGTAGCCTATTGTGCTTCTTTGTGGAACATTTGATATGAATGCTATAAGTTGCACTTCAATTCAAAATGAGAGACGCTTGACTTATCTAATAGTATATCCAGCTTGAGCATGCATCAGCTTGCTGCATTTGGTGCTTCAGGCTAGAAGTAGCTGTTTAGAGTAGTTATCTGACAGCTTTGCTGTTGTAGAAACAATTTGTTTTGGTTTGGAGCCAGAATCACATTGGCAGTATGGCTCAATGTAAAGATTTTTGAAGATCCAAACCATTTGAGTGTTGTAATATTGCACTTTGTGGTAGGAAATACATATATGGCAGTGCTTCTTAGGCTCTGATGTGAGGACTAGAATATTTTCTTTCTCTAACATATCTAGGGCCAGTATTATGCCTGTATATAACTCATTACAACTGTCTGTCTGTCTGTCTCTCTCTCTTACTCTCTCTGGAAAACTCCATTGACTAACAGCCAATGGTTCATGGACTGCCACTTTGGGTAACCCTGCTTTACAGCTTATTCATACTTTTTCAGTGTGTCCTCTTTTTTTTTTTTAAGCAAGAACTTGCTAAATTATGCCATAAACGGCAAGACCTTTAGAAAATAAAATGCATCTTCAGCACCTGTTGTGGCAAGAGAAATTAAGTGATATAAAATTTGTTGGATTTGGCAATGTATCTGCTGCTCTATATAAAAAAAAGCAAGGGCGGTACTTGCAGTAAACTGTAACACTTTTTGTAAAGTGAAACCCAGTAAAGGCCTATTCCTTGTTAATCTGGAAGAGAAGAAAAATCCCTTAGAACTCATAGTTAAATCATTCTTGGTTGGAATCCATTCTCAAGGCAAGACTGTTCAATCCTGGCACATCAATTTTGGAAAAAGGCATTCATAACCTTTTGGAGAACACCTTTTGGAGATCATAACATTTTAAGAAAAGTATGAACTTTCAGAGAAGAGCCAAAAACCCTTTAGAGTAGACTCTTTTCTTGTGGTATACAAGCAGATATAATTATGCAAGACAGTGGTTTTAGTTGTTAGACTGAATAACCTGTTATCTCTGACCGTTTAGGAAAACAGATTTGCCAGGGCATAAAAACAGCAGAGCCTTCAAAGTGTTTTTCAGCGCCCAAAATATATGTATTCTCTCTCATAAAACAACTTGTTTTATATCATGTACTCAAGAGACAAAAATGAAGTAGACTTTGATAAAAAAAACATATTTGGTTTACTCACAGCCTTCATGTGTTCAGCATACACAGGTACAAAATCTATAATTCTCTGTGCTATCTGGCCAGGACATCTCCTACAGCAAAACAGCAAGAAAGTGTGTGATTTGAGGTCTGAAGTGTGCTATAATGATCATGTGACCTGCAACCTCTTTTATAACTTCTCAGGAAACATAGAGTAAAGAAAGCTGCATACCAGAACATACATACAGGAAACAGTAAGCAACAGGATCATAGATAAACATTACTAGAGAAGACTTCAAGAAAGTTGTCATTTACAATAATCAAGTCATTTAAAGCAAATACTCTCTAGGTCTTGATGATTAGGTCTTGATTGCTGTAGATATTGTAAAGCCTTTGACTCTGTGGATCATAATAAATTGTGGCAAGTTCTTAGTGGGATGGGCATCCCAAGCCACCTTATCTCTCTCCTGAGGAATCTGTATAAGGACCAAGTAGCAACAGTAAGAACTGACCATGGAACAACAGACTGGTTCAAGATTGGGAAAGGCTTACGGCAGGGTTGTATACTCTCACCCAACCTATTCAACTTGTATGCAGAACACATCATGCGATGTGCGGGGCTGGATGAATGCAAAGCTGGGGTGAAAATTCTGGAAGAAACATTAACAACCTCAGATATGCAGATGACACCACTCTGATGGCCGAAAGCGAGGAGGAGCTGAGGAGCCTTCTAATCAAGGTGAAAGAAGAAAGCGCAAAAGCTGGGTTGCAGCTAAACAAAAAAAACCAAGATTATGGCAACAAGAATGATTGTCAACTGGGAAATAGAGGGAGAAAACGTGGAGGCCGTGACAGACTTTGTATTTCTAGGTGCAAAGATTACTGCAGATGCAGACTGTGGCCAGGAAATCAGAAGACGCTTACTTCTTGGGAGGAGCGCAATGTCCAATCTCGATAAAATAGTAAAGAGTAGAGACATCAGACTGGCAACAAAGATCCGCCTAGTCAAAGCCATGGTATTCCCTGTAGTAACCTACGGATGTGAGAGCTGGACCTTAGGGAAGGCTGAGCGAAAGAAGATCGATGCTTTTGAGCTGTGGTGTTGGAGGAAAGTTCTGAGAGTGCCTTGGACTGCGAGAAGATCCAACCAGTCCATCCTCCAGGAAATAAAGCCCGACTGCTCACTGGAGGGAAAGGATACTAGAGACAAAGTTGAAGTACTTTGGCCACATCATGAGGAGACAGCAAAGCCTAGAGAAGACAATTATGCTGGGGAAAGTGGAAGGCAAAAGGAAGAGGGGCCGACCAAGGGCAAGATGGAGGGATGGCATCCTTGAAGTGACTGGACTGACCTTGAGGGAGCTGGGGGTGGTAACGGCCGACAGGGAGCTCTGGCGTGGGCTGGTCCATGAGGTCACGAAGAGTCGGAGACGACTGAACGAATGAACAACAACAACAACATGAATGACCATGTATGAAGTTATTCATTTTATAGTGACGGTCTATGGATATAGTGGGATGAATGTTGTACTGTGTTGGACTCTTGATTCCAGCTTAGCCATGGAAATCCACTGAGTGTGGCCTTGGACAAATCACACACTCTAAGTCTGTAAAAATCCCATGATAAAAATGTATTCTATCCTTTAAAAATATATATATATATATAACATAATGTAAAATGAATATTTTGAAACCCTTATATATTTTAAGTATTTCAAATATTTTAATATTTTGAGCAATATTTTAAGTTTAGTATATTTGAGCTGCCAGATTTCTAGTGCTTACCAACTGGAAAAATAAATTGCACAACATTTTCTCTTATGGAAATTTTTTGGAGAAGAATGAAAATGTAACCTCTGTATGGAGTGAAGTGACATACTATGGAGGTATTATACTGTATTTGAAGATACACAGCCAGCTGCTGGTATTAAGCACTGACATATAAACTTAAATATTTTGTGATATCTTTTCATGTGATAATTTGTGATAATAGCTTAAAAACAGTAGTAATATTCTAGTATTTCAGTGCTTTTAAGTAAGCTTAACTATGAGGTTTGTTGCATAATGATCAAGCATAAAGAATGTGTGCCCCAAAACTAAAAACACTGTAGATTGAATTGAGGTTACTGTTCATGACTGGATCTCTGGAGTGAAAAGAAGATTTGTGTTGTGGTATGCTAGCAAAAGGATAATTCCAGTTTCTTTCTTTTGGCAGAAAATGGCTGTTCCCCCCGCTTATGCTGACTTAGGAAAGTCAGCTCGAGACATCTTCACCAAGGGATATGGTAAATATTGCTAAAGGAAATCAATGTCTTTTCTTGGTTGCCTGCATTGTTGATTTCTAGGATTTTATACAAAAGTAATTGCAGTTCCTGGAAGGCCTTAAAGCACACAGTTGAGCTACATGGATCAAGCTGTGCCCTTTGAATAGGTCTTTCGGCCACTGTGTGCACAGGATGCTGGGCAATGCTTAGTTCTGGCAGTAGCTCCATGGGAATAAATGCCATTGAACACACTTCCAGCCAAATACATTGATTGTTGGCCTGCACTTATAGATAGGGCTTTTTAAAATACAAAAATTGTTAAATTTCAGAAATGTTCAAATAGTTCTCAGTTCTGACTCCTGGGCTCTGGAAGCCTGTAATTTTTAAACTTAATGTCAGTCAAAAGACAAACAAATCAATTGCCAGTGGTGGGGATGAAGCAAACATTGATTTTGTCTCTTTTTTGTTTTCATTTTTAGTATCGGTTTATTGAAATTTCTGGAATAAGGACCATGCTGTGAAGTAGGGGATCTGTTTTCACGCACCTGCCATAACTTTTTAGAGCTAGTATTATCCATGTGGGATGATAACTCTACTGATTACAGGTGTTCTGCCCATTGAATCTACTTCTATGTTTAGTGACAGAGATGGATCCCAGAGAAACATGAGGTGAACAACTTAGGCCCCATCTACACTGCCATATAATCCAGTTTCAGAATGCAGATTAACTGCACTGGATTATATAGCAATGTAGACTCATTTAAACCAGTTCAACGTGATTCAGTCTGCATTATATGAGCCAGCATTGATCATTATAATGCAGTTCAAAGTATATTATATGACAATGTTGATGAGGGCTTAATGTTCTATTGGAGTGGATATGCTTTCCTCCAGTCACCATTACCTCTGCTTTTGTGACAATGTAGCTTCTTTCAAAATATAGTGAATATCAGTTGAGGGGCAAGCCACAAGAGCACATTTATTACTATGCCCATGGCACTAGTTCTKTAGCAAAATGTATCTGAAATGAATTAAAGGCAGTAAGTTGGTAGTTTCTGCAAAACAAAACCAACCCCCCCCCCCTCGGCCCCCGATTATGCCTGCAAATCTTGCAGTGAAAATGATAAAGTTCTCTAAAGAATAAGTCACTTACATTACTTCCCCTCTATATGGATACTAACACATTTCTGTTTCCTCTCTCCTTCTTTAAAGGGTTTGGTTTAATAAAGTTGGATTTGAAAACCAAATCTGAAAATGGACTGGTAAGTAAAAAGAGTGTTTCCAAAGCTTTTCTGAGATATCTGAGATAGTCCTTTCACTGCCTCCCACCAAAACAGTTCAAAGGAGGGAGAGTTTGTTATAGTATCTTATTCTCCAGTGGAAACTGTGTGCAAATTCTATCCCACAGGCTGGATGTGGCCCTGAAATCCCATTTTTGTGACCCCTAAAACTCCTCAGCAGTTTATCAAAGCTCCCCAATTCCCTAGTTATTTTTAAATGGAATTAATCTTGTATTAAGTCATACAGAAAGGCTCCCAAACAAATGAAAAAAAGTCACCCTTTCAAAACACTTCAGAACCCCATACTTCTCTGAATACCTCAGTTTTCCTCTGCAGTCTCTCTCAAAATGGTTGCCAACTGAGTTATAAAGTAGAGGAAGTTTTAGATATTTAGGTTTGTGGTTGGAGCTCACAGGGGCAGTAGGTAAAATCAGCCTTTGTCCCTCCAGTATTTCCCATCGCAGTCCCAGAGTTAATGCAGTTTGACTACACATTGGCTGCTGTGGCTCAGTGTGATGGAATCCTTGGATCTGTCATTTGAGAAGGCATCCACACGCTATGGTAGAGAAGGCTGAAGGCCTTGTAAAACTACAAATCTTATGATTTCATTCCATTGAGCCATAAACATTAGTGTTGTTGAATTGCATCCATTCTATAGTGTAGATGCACCTTCAGAAGCATTTACAGCCCCCTTTACAAAGAGTGTGGAGGGAAGGGATCCCTCTTTTTTTTTGTTGCTAATGTAACTGTATAAGATGTCATAGTTAATAATAAATTGTTCTACAGTGTCTAATGGGGGAACGTACCACCCCCCCCCCCTACTAAAACAGCTTCACTGGCTGCCTATATGCTTCCAGGCCCAATTCAAAGTGCAGGTTTTCATCTACAAAGCCCTACAAGGTTTGAGTCCAGCCTACTTACGTGACCACCTCTCCCCCATTTATGGGCTTTAAGATCTGCCGGGGAGACCCTTCTCATGGCCCTGCATCCCATCACAAGCATGGTTGCTGGAGACAAGGGAGAGAGCCTTCTAGGTAGTCACTCCCCCGGCTTTGGAATGCCCTCCCCAGAGAGATTAGGCAAGCACCCACACTCTTGTCCTTTGGGAAAGAACTGAAAACCTGGCTGTTCAAACAGGCCTTTGACAATGGCTAAAGTAAGAATTCTTAACCGCTAAATGGACTGCATGGCTTATAGTGATCAATACAATGGTTTTGACTCTTCAGAGCTTGTTTAAATTGTTTTATATAATAATTGTTTATGTGCTGATTGTTTTGTGTTAATTTTGACTTGTTTTAATTCATTATGATACCCAGTTTTATGTATCTATTGTGTTTTTTATGATTGGAAGCCGCTCCGAGTCCCTTGTTGGGAGATGGGGCGGGATATAAATAAAGCATTATCATTGTATTGTTGAAGGCTTTCATGACCAGAATAATTGGGTTGTTGTAGGTTTTTCGGGCTGTATGGCCATGTTCTAGAAGCATTCTCTCCTGACAGTTCATTTGCATCTATGGCAGGTATCCTCACAACCTCTGAGGATGCCTGCCATAGATGTAGGTGAAATATCGGGAGAAAATACTTGTAGAACATGGCCATACAGCTCGAAAAACCTACGACAACCCATCATCATCATCATCATCATCATCATCATCATCATCATCATCACTATACATATTTTTGCCTGTAGGAATTTACAAGCTCAGGTTCAGCAAATACAGAAACAAGCAAAGTTACTGGAAGTTTGGAAACAAAGTACAGGTGGACAGAATATGGCCTGACGTTCATAGAGAAATGGAACACTGACAACACACTAGGCACAGAGATAACCTTAGAAGATCAGGTGAGTATTAAGCCTTGGGACAGTAATTGATTAATTTCTTAAACAGCCTTCTTTCAAATTATAAATTCCAATTTCTTTTTTTGTACAGCTTGCCCATGGACTGAAGATGACCTTTGATTCTTCATTCTCCCCTAATACTGGGTAAGGAGTGAACAAAGTTGTACATCAAAGTTACCTTATGTTTCATTACTTGCCTAATTCTTACATTTTTCCCAGTGCAAATATTTAGAAATTACTTCCACGTGAGTCAGCCACATCTTCTCTTTTAATCAAGTCTTCCTCCCCTTAAAAATGAACTTACTCATTAAGGAAATACTGGATCGTTTTGTTGCGCTTTCTTTATCTTTCTGGCCAAGGAGCATATGTGTCTCTTACAAGGACAACGTAACAATATCAGAAATTGTCAGGGCAAAGTTTAATTAGTGATGTGTCAATTAGCATCACAGTCTAAAAAGTTCCATTGAAAAAATTGGATCTCTTTTTCTCCAAGCTAGATTGAGTTACTAATTACTTTTCAGGCTGTAGCACAATATGAGATTGGTTGGATGCAAGGTTTTTCTTGCTGCAGTTGTTTCCAGTTTCATATGTGGGTTAGAAGGATTAAGGAGCAGGGAGGATTATATGTCATTAATATTTCTGTATATGCCTTTGCGTGTGTCCCTTCATTTTCTCATCCTTTCTAAATGCTTCTTATGTCATAACACAATAAAGCTGAAAGTTGCACATTATATTTTTGTGCTTTGATATATTGCTTATAAAAATTGATACAATTTTTGTCCCAATATATTACCGTTTACCACTATTAGGTGACAATGTTATAGAATGCCTTCATTGGTGGGATAGTTTTATGTGAATTTTGCAACAAAATATGACCATGTCTTTGAGGGACTAACATATGCAGTCCTGGTACATGAAGGTTGACTTTGCTAGAGATAAAAATGTCTTAAATGTCCAACTATTTATTATGAAAGTTCAAGTATTCATATGATACCTGCTTTATAGATGAAACCAAGGACCCCATCAGAGAGAACCAGTACTAATTATTAATAGACTTTACCCATAATCAATGCAATTTTTAAAATAACAAGAGATAGAGAATTGTTCTTTATAAGTCCCAAATTAGATGTAGTACTTCTTGGAAATCCGTAGTATTCCCTAATGCTCTTTCATCCAAGTCCTCACTAAAACTAACTCTGCTTAATTCCGATAAGTAAACAAAATCAAATATGCTCAGGGTTGTAGGATGGTCTAGTTTTGTGTTGGTTTGGTGGCATATTAGAAGCTGTGAGTGGAAGTGATGGGTCATAGGTTTATAGATTTTACTTCCTTATATATATTGTAGGACATACCTGTTTTTCCATCACTGTTACGTTTCCTGCAATCATAATTAGACTTCTGAATTGAAATGGGGGCTACTTACACATTCAAAGATGGATTTCTGCTGCTTAGATATTTTGTATTATGCTTAAATTATGGAAAAATAGAAGGAAAAATGAGTCACCTTAGCCAGTAGAGACTTGAGAGAGTAGCTAATAATTGCTCATGTGTAAGCAGAAGGGTAGCTTTTCCACCACACAAAGTAGCTAACTTTGAGTGAACAGTGTCAAAAGTGAGAATAAAAGTGAGTGATAATGTTGCCAGTGGGCTATTTGACAGTAGTGCTGGAATAGTCTGGCCCACACACACATGCATGCACGCACATGTATATATGAGCTGTTTTCAAAAAGCTCTGTTCAGAAGCCACAACTGTTTGTTTGAGTCAGATAAACTTGTCTTCTCACAAGGAAACAGAAGACAGGCCAGTGACCCCTGAATTAATGATGTGGTTAAGTGACACCATTCAGTTCAATCAACTACTGTGAACATGTAAGATAAGGCAACATAATGCCTGCTACTGATAGCACTTTTAGGCTTGTGTCATGATCTGTTGAGCTCTGAGGTTTTATCTTCTTCGGACTTAAACCTGCAGCTGAGGTTAATGTATGACCCTTCACTTTGGTGTAGATTACTACAGTGCTCACTCTTCTGGATTGGATTCTTTATCAAAAAGCAAACCTTTATGTCAGAAATGCTTCAAAATAGGTAGCTTTAGTTGGTATTAAGTTGAATTTAAGTTGGTATTTAGTTGAAGTACTTTGGCCACATCATGAGGAGACAGCAAAGCCTAGAAAAGACAATTATGCTGGGGAAAGTGGAAGGCAAAAGGAAGAGGGGCCGACCAAGGGCAAGATGGATGGATGGCATCCTTGAAGTGACTGGACTGACCTTGAAGGAGCTGGGGGTGGTGACGGCTGACAGGGAGCTCTGGCGTGGGCTGGTCCATGAGGTCATGAAGAGTCGGAGACGACTGAACGAATGAACAACAACAACAGTTGGTATTAATTTTGATTTATTTGGCAGCCTTATTTTACAGCTCTTCTAATGATTACTTAAAATACGAATCCTGTGAGTCTTCCTAATACAGGAGAGTAGACGTATCCAAAGGCCTTTCAAAATCCCATGCCCAGTTCATCTTCAGCTGGTAAGGCAAACAGGATGAGGGTATACCATGCAATCCAGTTTGTAATCTACAAACTTTTTAAACAGAGGACCAGATCACAGTCTCTCAAACTGTTGGAGGGCCGGATTATAATTTGAAAAAAATATATGAATGAATTCCGATGCACACTGCACATATCTTATTTGTAGTGCAAAAAACACTTAAAAACAATACAATAATTAAAATGAACAATTTTGACAAATATAAACTTATTAGTATTTCAATGGGAAATGTAGGCCTGCTTTTGGCTGATGAGATAGGATTGTTGTTGTTGTTGTTGTTGTTGTTGTTGTTGTTGTTGTTGTGTGATTTCAAGTCGTTTCAGACTTAGGTTGACCCTGAGCGAGGACCGGGTAAATTACCTTGGAGGGCCGCATCCGGCCCCCGGGCCTTAGTTTGAGGACCCCTGATGTAATCTTTGGTCAGTGACTGCCAGCTTTCTTCATCCTCTCTTTTGGGAAACAAGAAGAAGTAATGAGCACTTAGAAACCCAGCTTAGAGACCTTTGTTCTCCCTTGTTTTCTTCCAGCTGGGGGAGGAGCAGAGGAGTACAGTGTTATAACTTCTCAGCTGGGTTTGCCAGCATGAAGCTGGAATTCCAGCTAGGACAGAACTAGCAAGCCTGGCTGAGGATGCTGTGCTCACGCATGCTTTTTGCCTGAATGGAGAAGAGTAAATCCAGTGTGCATTCAGGCAAAATGACATCATTAGGTTGGTTCTTCAGCTACAGAACCCAGTAATGTCAGGGGCTGTAGTTGTGTCTCCTGATGACTCTGTCTGGCCTGCAGAGAATGGAAATCCAGTGTTCCCACACAACACTTTCTTAGTAATTTCCTGAGTGGTTTTTAGATCCAGCCTCTGCCATGTCATTTTATGCTTCTGAAAAAGCTTCTAATTAAGATAATGTCAGTTGAATGTTGCTTCTATGGCTTCATTTTTTGGTATTCCTTATTTTTTATGATGATGATGATGTTTATTTATACCTCGCTTTTTCTCTCCATAAAAATAATAATACTCAAAGTGACTTTATATCACCTATATGCTGCCTTGCTCCCAGAGTGGGACTCAGGGCAGCTTCCAGAGAAAGTAAATTAAAAACATTTCCACTAGTTTTAACTACAAACACTCTCCTGACCACTGCTGAAGTTGTTTCCCACTTTGTTTTTCCTTCATCCTTTCTATGATCCTTCTGCTTATCCTTGACATTGCCCCCACTGCTTTATTCTACAGACTCAACGTTTCCCAAAAACTGTTATTGAATAGTCCCATCTGTGGCTTTTGTGCCTCTCTTTTGCTATGTTATAGAATCATGGAATTGTAGAGTTGGAAGAGACCTCATGGGCCATCCAGTCCAACCCCCTGCCAAGAAGCAGGAAAATTACATCCAAAGCACCCCCAACAGATGGCCGTCCAGCCTCTGTTTAAAAGCCTCTGTTTAAAAGCCTCCACTAATTAATACTGCTTTTCCCATTTCTCATTGACATTTTGTAAATTCTGCTATATTCAAGATGTGGGGGACTTATGTATTATAGCACTCAGTGATAAATGCATACTATTACCACTCTGGCCAGTATTATTGATTTGCAGTTACAGTCATGTTTATGCAGATGCTCCATATTATTTTATGTTAGGAACCTGACAGAACTGTAGCATTGCTTTGTATTTGACTTCTTCTGAAGCTGTGAGCCAACAGTGATTTGATGTATTTGGTATGTAATGTTGATCGGATCACATTAATGGTATCAGTTTATTTTTATTTGGCCTTTTTATGACATCAGTGTTGTCTTCTGGAGAAGAAAGCAATAAACTTAAGAGATATAGCTTGTAACTGTTAAAATTGATGATTATCTTTTTAAAAAATAGACTATGCACAATTTGAAAAGTGTAATGTAAAGCACTATTTTGTTTTTAGAAAGAAAAGTGCTAAAGTCAAATCTGGATACAAGCGGGAACATATCAACCTGGGCTGTGACATGGATTTCGACATTGCTGGTCCTTCAGTGCGTGGTGCCTTTGTCGTTGGCTATGAAGGCTGGCTAGCTGGTTACCAAATGACATTTGAGACCGCCAAATCCAGAGTAACCCAGAGCAACTTTGCTGTTGGTTATAAGACTGATGAGTTCCAGCTTCACACCAATGTGTAAGTATCGGCAATAACCAAAGGAATATATCCTTAAAATTGGTGAAAGTAATGGGATATATTTCACATGTATATTTAATTTTTTTTTAAATGGGAAAGACATCAGTAATGCTGATGCCTTGATGATCAGTATGTGTTTTGAGCAGGAGAATGTATATCATTAGAATATATGTTTATTATTTTATTTATTTCTGTCCAACCCCTACCACCCTTCATGATAGCTAACAAAAAGGGAACCCGAGGCAATTAAAAGCTGTTGTCAATAAAAATATTTAAAAGGTAAAATATATTTACTTCAAATACAACTACAAATACAACACAAACAATTTGAAATATATCAAGAAGTAAAAAAGTAGTACACTGCAATCATTCAATGAGCCTTTCCCAAAGGTTCCAATTTTCTTGAACATACAGCTCTTTAAGGGGAAAGCATACATAATTTCTGAGGTCTTCCCTTCACCATGATCATGAGTAAGTGATGAAAAGATGTCTACACTTATTTATTGAAAATGTATGTAATGAAGAACTGTATATATGAAAGGGAAATCCCTTTCCTTCATACTAATATTGAAGGGGGATAACAGAAAGAATTGCTGTGCTGGTGGAACACATTAAAATCTCTTCTATCTCTCTAATGGTTGTATTCTGTGGAATTCTAGGGATTGTAGTTTAGTGAGGCACAAGAGCTCTCTGACTAAGAATTTGAAACTGAAAATCCCAGAATACCTCAGGATGTTGCCATGGCAGCTACAGTGGAACTACAGTGCAATAATTGTGTAGTATGAAAGGATCCATATACCTTGCAGCCCTTTTAGTTTAGCTAGTAGTAGCTGGTACTTCCAATATTAATGGTATAGTGAATCCGTCATATAGTTTGAATTTTAAGGGAACTATGCAGTGTGCTGAACCTATCTGTGAAACTAGATTCATGATTCCTATTAATGGAGCAGTCACTGGTATCTGTCCACTGAGCTTAGTATTAACTGGTGGAATGAAGAAGCAGAAATCCTTGCTTGCAGGACAATGCTATATACAGCACTAGTTACCAAACATTTGCTAGTGTTATGGACCGCATGAAAGAAAGTCTAACAATGGGAGTGTTCTCTCTGGGTACGGCAGCTTGATTATATGATGTATGATGTAGACATGTGCTGCAGCCCACTTTAAGTACTTTATACCAAGATTACTAAAGTTGGGGAATACTCCAAAATAAAGTCCTTAATGCACATCAGTGCACTTTAGCGTAAATCACGTCACATGGCAAAGAGAATTAAGGGATGGAATGCTTCACACATGCACATTATGGAGGGAGGAGAGTTGGAAAAAAATGCATTCTGGAGCCTATTGAAAACCAGCCTCTTTGGTGTGTATAAGCACTATCCAGGCCTTGAATCAGTTCCAGGACTTCCCATCTAACTATCTCCACACCAAAACTGCTTCCTTCTTTGTTGTTTACAACATTTAATTTTTGTATATTTGTACATTTTAAATCCTGTGTTAATGCTTTTATGTAACAACAACAACAGCCTAAGTAGTTATTGTAAATGTGTCCACTCATGAAAATCTGCACTGTTGTCTCGAGCCAAGAGAGCTCCACCACTGCTATACTTCACTTAGCTTCTGAACTTTCAAATGAGCTATTTAACAAGACGGCAGACAGTGGAGAGAGTTTCACATCTAAAAGATCAGCTAAGTGGTTTAGACAGCCTTCTTTAGCAGAGTCTTCCCCTTTGCCTCCTCGAAGCAAAAGGTCAAAGAACCAGCTTATGAAGGCTCCAGGTGGCGACTCCTTCACAAGGCAAATGAGCCCTTACTATATCATAGCACCTCTACTTTCCCTTCCTCCCCCTTAGAGATGCTTCTTTAGCCATTCTGCCCTGTGGGGAGAGTTATGCCTAAAGATGAAGATGCTTTCCTCAAAGATCCTGGGAAATAAAAATATGGAATGCCCTTAAAAATCCATGAAGCAGCTTCTCTTTCAATTTCTTGTTTTCCTACACTTTTTTTGCTGTTTAAGAGAAGGTAGTGCACATTTTTCAATGACTTTTCATATCTACAGATTCTTTTGGTGAAAATTTCATGAAGAGTAGTGCAAAAACATTGTCTTTTATACAGAATATGTGTTTATTGTAGCTTCAGGGTTTTTTTTTAGACCCCCTCTTAAAAAAAACACTGTGTGAAAAAGGAAGAACGATAAAAGTACCACTCTTTACAATGGGCTGAGAAATTGGGAGGCAGCAGCAACACCCAATAGCAGAAACATACACAATATAGCAAATCTAAACAAACTATTCATGCAATTGCAAGGTGTTGCTGTGCAGAGCAAATGTTTTTGTGGGCCATTCATAACCTTCAAACTCATTTTTGAAGCATTAGCTAACACCTCATATGCTTAGAAGTTTAGGTAAGGAACCAGTCTAATTTTTTTAAATATCTTGTTTTTAAAAAACTTGGGGCTCTTTATAAGACCAGAGTTGTCCTGCTTTTTTTCCTATGATTTTTGAAACAGTAGAAAGAAACAGTGATTTATGTGATGAAATAGTGATGGTATCTTATGAAAAATCTTTCACTTAATGTAATATTATTTTTTGTTTTGTTTTTGTCCAGGAATGATGGCACAGAATTTGGCGGTTCCATTTATCAGAAGGTGAATGATAAGTTGGAAACAGCGGTCAATCTTGCTTGGACAGCTGGAAATAGCAACACTCGCTTTGGGATTGCAGCCAAATATCAACTTGACCCAGATGCATCTTTCTCAGTGAGTAATATATGGATCCTCATTTTACTGGATATTCCTGACCAATATTGACTACTTAATTCTGTTTAAATACCAACAACACTTTGAGGACTTAAATGGAAAATACTCATTTCCATTACTGTATTTGCACATAACTGCTTCTGTTTTGCTTCACAAAATTGTCTCTTTATCAAATGAAGGGAAAGCAAGGGAAGAAAGCATTTAGTGAAAAGAGAAGAAATCTTTCCACACTACTCTAGCATCAAGACAGATTCTTCAGCAGTTAAACCCCAGTTGGTTTTTATTCAGGGTTCCTTTCATTTTATCTATTTTTCAAATAGCTATGCCTTGTCTATGCAGCTCTTTTGGGCCATATTTCTCATTGATGCACCATATTACAATTTATTTATTTATTTACTTTGTTTGTAGTATTTATATACTGCCCTTCTCAGTGCCGAAGGGGACTCAGAGCAGTTCACGGTGACTCAGGGCAGTTCACAAAAGAAACTAATGCTTTCTTATACAGGTTGAACATTCCTTATCCCAAATTCTATAATCCAAATTACTCCACAAGGGTGCCTGAGACAGTGATGTCTTTACTTTCTGATGGTTCGATGTACGCAAACTTTGTTATTTGCACAAAACTATTAAAATATTTACAAAATTGACTTCAGGGGTGTGCATATAAAGCAAAAGTCTCATCTCAAAGGTATCTCATTATATACCTATATTGAAACACAGGTATTCCAAAATCTGAAAAAATCTGAAATCCAAAACTGCTATTCCCAAGCATTATGGATAAGGAATATCCTACTTGTATATTTAGTCCTTTTCTTAGTAGGCTGTAGAGAACAACCGTCACTGTCAGATTATCATATACGTCCTTATTGCTGCTATATAGTGATATATGAGCACATGCAATTTCTTGTTGCTTTTCTTGTTGAGTGACTACAAGTCATTTTTGACCTAAGGTGATCCCAAGGTGAATCTGTCACAGGTTTTCCTTATAAAGATTTATTCAGAGTGGGTTTGCCATTGCCCTTCCTGAGACTGAAAGAGTGACTTGCCTGAGGTCACCTGGTAGATTTCCAAAGCAGAGTGGGAAGGGACTGATTTCTCCCCCCATTTCCATGGCTTCAAAGTTTCCAGAATGTTGACTTCTCTACACTATCATCACTAATACATAACCTTCTAAATTAACTTGAGTGGGACTGAGCTACTCCACTGTCTCTCTGTCAGATGAAATAAACTTAAATTTTTTATCTAAAATGGAACAAGAATTTTCATAGAATCATAGATTTGGAAAAGTGACCATAATCCCGTGCTATGAGAGCCATCCAGTCAAATCCCCTCCTGACAAATTGACATCCAGCCTTTGTTTAAAAATCTCCAGACAAGGAGAGTCCCTCACACTCTGGGGTAGCCTAGTCCATTCCTGAATAGCTCTTACCATCAGGAAGTTTTTCCTAATGTTTAAGTGGAATCTCTTTTCCTGTAATTTGAATTCATTGGTCCTGCTTTGACAGAATAATATTAATTATACATTCATTTTGTTTTGCAGGCTAAAGTAAATAATTCCAGTCTGATTGGTTTAGGATATACCCAGACCCTGAAGCCAGGTATTTACATACAGAATTCTGTTTACTTAATTGTATTTCTCGGTTTAAACATAACTTCATCTAAAATTTCTATGTTTGTATGCGTTTGTTTGCAGAATTTTCAGAATAGTGAACAAATCCTTTAATTCACTTATTTTTCAAATTCTGTTGCATATTGCCTTCTATGAAATGGTTAGTCTTCAATTCTGAGAACATAGCTTGTGCACATGGAAAGTTTTCTATAAATTGTGTGAAATGAAAAGTGGCTTTAAACTATATATTGCATATTCCTGAATATTCAAAACACTACACCACACTGGCTGTCTTACAGATGTGTAAATAGAGCTACATACTCATTCAGGAATAATCTTTTGAGATGCAAAGTTTTGTCAGTGAGAAGTTTGCCATTTATATATTTAAACAGAATCATCTTGTTAAGAATGAACCTAAAAGTGTTATAATTATTTCCTCCAATGCCCCTGATCTGTTTATTTTTTTCAACTGGAGTATCATTGATCTCTCCTGTTCAAAAATTTGAAATGCCACTCTCTCTAGTTTCATAATATTAGTTGCTAGAAAGCTGAATTAACTTCGGTCCATTTATTGCAGATGTTAAATTGAAAGTAGATAAAGTTGATGACTTAAACTTGTTGAAATTATTTTGTATTAAATTTAAAAAAAATTGAGAGGGGAAGTGATGTATAGTTTTACTATCCTTGATCACTTTTTCAAAAAGTAGATAATTTTATTGCACACCATGATATTTATTATGTTGGGCATTAAAAATGATAATAATTCAACTATATATATATATATATAATTTTAAGAGTCCCCCTCCCCAGTGGCACAGCAGGTTAAACCACTGAGCTGTACAACTTGTTGACCAAAAGGTCGGTGGTTTGAATCTGGGGAGCGGGTGAGCTCCTGCTGCTAGCCCCAACTTTTGACAACCTAGCAGTTTGAAAACAAGCAAATGTGAGTAGATCAACAGCTACTGCTTCTGCAGAAAGGTGACAGCATTCCATGCAGTCATGTTGGCCATATGACCTTGAAGGTGTCTATGGGCAACGCTGGCTCTTTGGCTTAGAAATGGAGAAAAACATCACCCCCCAGAGTCTGACTCGACTAGATTTAATGTCAAGGGGAAACCTTTACCTTTACCTATAAGTTTAAGATGGGTTGCTCTTAAGGTATTTCATAATCAATATGTCAAAAATCACCTCGCGTTACTAAGTATTTAATGATTTTATCTTTTTTTCCTCTTACTGTTTGTCTACAGGTATCAAATTGACATTGTCGGCTTTGTTGGATGGGAAGAATGTGAATGCAGGTGGCCACAAACTAGGTTTAGGACTGGAATTTGAAGCATAAAGAAGGGAATGTTCCATCACTTAATTCTGAAATACTTTACAGTATAGCTACCTTCCGAATTTAGTGTACTTTTCAATGTTTTATGTCTGGGATGCAATTATTGCCGTGTGTCAGTCATGTTGAACCTGATAAAAGAAGGCTAAGCTTCATGATGTGTATTTTTCAGAGAGGATGAGAATATTTTTTCCACTTCTAAGCCTTTTGGGAATGTTGCTTGCTGGAGTTGCATACTTACAATCTATTTTATGAAGGTCTAATTCTTTCTTTAATGTTTTCTTAAGAAAACAGCTAGCATAATGGAATACAGTACAACCCCATATGTGTGGAATATATGCTCACAGAATTTGTGTGGATACGTGAAACCATGGATAATAGCAAACTAATTTTCAATTGGACAAATTGAAGAATGAGAAGAGCATGTGGCCTTATAGGAGGCCCTAAATGAATTTGTAGATAAGTGCAACTAGATAGATCAGTTCTGCGAATATGGAGGTTGTACTGTACACATTTGAAATTTAAGTCTCTTCAGCATTATGCTCAGAAAACAGAAGTTACTGATGCTGAATGAATTGGGCTTTTGTTCTATGATGGAGTGTTCACATTTGTCTCATAAGGCTTAGGCAGGTGCATCATCCATGTTTTCAGTCTTACTTAGTTCTCCTTCCCACACTACAGCCCTCTCTTTCCACCAAAAGCTTGTCCTTGGAGTGCTTTAGAGTGTTCACATTGTTTAACCTTGGCGTATAGAAAGTTTGATGTGACCGCAGCCAACACTACTTAAAATTCACATCATGTATTGTGGACCCTTTTCCCTTGCACTAATTATGGAGAAGCTTGTACGACACAGCCATAAGCAGGGAGACGTCTTTGTAATCATAATCACCTAGTGGCATTGCATTGAACAAAATGGACTTTATTTTATCCTGTCTTTTCTCTCGTCCCTTTAAAGACACAGTTTTAATGAGTACATTTTCAGTCTTCCATTTTGTGTGTATGGAGCTAGACCCCCAAATGCTGTACTGAGCACCAATTAAAACAATAAAAAAACCCAACTTGAATAAAACATTGAAACTTCACTTCTAATTGTGTCTGTCTTCCTAAACCATTTTGCATAATCATCTGCATTCTTATTAAAACACATTTGTAACTTTTTTGCCTGACAGTTTTAGGTAGGTTTGTGTATGTTTCTTCTCATTTGCTATCACTGGAGAAATAGGCAGTAAAATTTCCAGTGGAAACAAAACAAATAATTACTGATAAAATGTTTCAGTGCATGCTCACTTTCTAACCAGAGCGTTCTAACGTGCCAGGCATTCTTTCCCATATTTTCTTTTCCAGCTGACAACATCCCACAGCTACTGAGCATGCTTAACTTAGCATGATTACGATGTGTGTGTGCGTGTGTGTTTGTCTTTCTTCTTAAATTTGAAAAATATGTTGCTTCTGTGAATCTTGGCTCCACTGAGCATTTTCACATTTTGATCTTATTTTTGTATAGTTCTATGTTGGTTCCAGTTGGCTCATCATCTTTCTTTGTCTTAGAAGTGACCATGTTTTCTTCATTTCATCTGGAGCAAATCAGGGATTTCAATGCAAACTTTTTACTTAATATACCAAAATATTTACATTCCTGAAAGGCTAAATTTTGCATACTCTGTTTGGCCACTTGATTTCTCTTTTGACCAGTGTTTTTATGTGGAATGCTTACAAGGTTATCTTATGGAATTGCTCCTTACTCTATCTGTGAGGTGGAGAAAAATACAAATTCAGACAAAATTTAGTAAAAAAAGCTAATTGTTGCTGTTTCACTGTTAGATATGATGCTACCAATGATGCTGGAATTTGCAGAATAATATATACAGCAACTAAGGCAGGCTCCTGATTAGAAGTACTTATGATTAAACCATGATGGGAAACGGGGAAAGAAAGGGAGGTTGAAGAAAAAATATATGTTTGAGACTCTTAATCAAATTTTCTACAGCTGTAGCTATCTGCTCATTTTCCTGTACTCCAGAGTGGTTAAGTTACTTAGTTAGTGAGGGAATGTACAGTTCCTCAACTTTTATTTATAATCTTTATCAGATTGACCTTCATGTTAGGCATGAAATGATCTGTCCAGGTTGTAATACTGTGCTCCCTTTCTTTTTTTTAATTTTTTAATTTGCCAATCAGATTGGCAAATATGCACAAATCTTGATCTTTGAATGGAAAAACAAGCATGTTTTCTTCGACTAATGAAATAAGAGTGGAGAATGATAACTCTGAAGTTGGCTGGGTAATGCCTGCTTCAGGCTTTACACTAAACTTTTAAAAAGCCACCAAAGGTGAAAATCCTACATCTGTAATAACTTTTACATAAGTAACACAACACAGGTCCAGGAGAAAGGTCTTGCCAAATGCAGCCATCCTCCGCAACATAAAAAGAAACCCCCTCCCAAAAGAAATCCCTATACAAACATATTTACAAAAAACAATAATCTAATGCAAAGCTCACCCAAACTTGGGTCAGCAAAAAAACAGAAATCAGAGTACTCCTGAAAATAACTGAATTCTTCCATAGAAGCTGAAGACATGTCTCCAAACCTTGAAAATTAAAGACCAGAACATTGTGGAATAGTTTCCTGCTTCAGAACTGAGGGTGTGGGGCGGCATTTGAAAAGCCTTGTTCTGTTCACCACAGGCTGTGTGTGTGTGTGTGTGTGTGTGAGATATGGTGCATGGCTAAAGAAGGTCGATATGGTCTGTCAGACGATTTTGGCTGAACATGTTGATCTGGCACTAAATGGAACTTAGGTTTTTCCATTGCTGGTTTAGGAATTCTCCAGCTACCTTCCGTCTAAAATTGGGAATGACTATATGGTTCAGTAGAAGGAATTCCTGAATCTTCCAAGGCCCCATCTACACTGCCATATAATGCAGTTTGAAACTGATCAGTGTAGACTCATATAATGGTGTATTGAACTGCATTATATAAGTCTACATCAGTCATGTAATGTAGTTTCAAACTGCACTATATGGTAGTGTGGATGGGGGCCAAGACAGTCCAATTGGTATTGGATTCAGTTTCAATGAAACTCCTGCATTCATCTAGTTATAAGGCACACAACCAAAAGATTTTTATGTGATCACATTTTTATTCAAGTTGCCACAAAGTGTACAGTTAACTCTCCCCATTTAGCTGGGTTTAGGGACACGGCCCCCGTGAAAGTGAAAAGCCATGAATAAAAACATTGCTATTTTGTTGCATTTCTTGTCTCTTGGTATTATATAAATCTCAGTAAATACACATATTTTTACATTATTTTCTTGAAACAACACCTCTCTAGGAATTTCTAGGTGTTCCAGCACAACCTTATAGTCAACTTCTGCTGGAACAATAGGACTGATGTGTTTAGATTGAGGAAAGCAATACTACCATGCATTGGTCAGACCTCACCTGGATTTCTGTGTCCCAGAATTCAAGAAAGATATTGACAAGTTGAAATGTGTCCAGAGAAGGACAACCAAAATGGTAAACGGTCTAGAAGCCATGTCCTATGAGGAGTGTCAGAGAGGGATGAGGATGTTTAGCTTAGAGAAAAGAAGGTTGAGAGGTGACATGATAGCCATGTTTAAATTTCTAAAAGGATGCCATATTGAGGAGGTAGCAAGCTTGCTTTCAGCTGCTCCATAGACTAGGATATAGAGCAATGGATTAAGACTACAGCAAATGAGATTCCACCTAAACATTAAGAAAACCTCCTAACAGCAATAGTTGTTTCATAATCTAATATGTTGCCGTGGAGTGTGGTGGAGTCTCCTTCTCTGAAAGAGTTTGTAAAGTCATCTGTTGCAAGTGCTTTGCATGTTCCTGAATAGCAAAATGGACTTGGACTTGGTGTCCTTTAGGGTTTCTTCCAACTGTATAATTCTATGATTTATTTTATTCCGTTTACAAAAAAAGTCATGAATATCAGGGATTAAATATCCGGGCTGCATCCAAATGTTACTCCTATCTAGTGTAGATACATTCAATCAATAGAGTTGGCATGAATCGTGACTTAAATTTCTATTCATTTAATGGTATATTCTAACTGCAATTAACAACTGGATATACTTAGGTCTTAAGTGTGCTTTAAAGAAACCTATTCCTCATGAAGTAAGTATTGATTTTCAGGATTTTGTCTTTTTGTTTTGCTTTATTATGCCCTTTAAAGCTTTAATAAAAGGCAATTAAATGTAGCCAGATCAAAGAAATGAGAATCAAAAAAGCAGCTTACATGAAATACCCTTGACTTACCAGAGTCAAATAAAACCTCTTTTGATAATTTTCTCTCTTGAAATAAGGAGATTTTTCCTATGAAAGGAAGTGAGCTTTTCATCAGTATTCTAGTGAAAGGAAGAAAATATTCCCCAGAGGCTTTCTGTAGATGAAAACGAAAACCTATTGATACAAGCTGCCTTGATTTGTATGACTGCAAAAAGAAGACATGAAGAAGTTTGACCAAGGAGTTCTCAGAAAATTTTAAAATTAAAGGCTCCAGTATGGCCTATGCTGTATCATCATCAGAATCTCATTGTTAGATTAAATACTTTATAGTATGAAAGGTAACCCCCCTTTTACAACCCCTCCCTCCTGAACATCAGAAACAACAGAAAGGTGGATTCGGGGAGTTCTCTATAATCCAGATTGGGCAATCCAGGTAATAAAGACATGGGCTATGGGGACAGGGGCTGAGTGGTGTGCAAGGAGGCAGGAGAAAGGGAGGAACAAATGATGTCAGTCAATGCTTTTGATTGGCCCCATGATTGCTGGTTTTTTATTTACAGAGAGCAGCCCTTTTGGGGAGTTGTCCAAGGACAGTCCTCAATTTTTCAGTAAGTCCCAGTTCTGAAGGGGTGTCCCATTCAAGGTGGCATCTACACTATAGAATCAGTTTAACACCCCTTTTACTGTCATTGCTCAATGCTATGGAATCCTGGAATTTGAAGTTTTGTGAGGCACCAGCACTCTGTGGCAGAGAAAGATAAAAACTTTAGGGTGGTGTCAAACTGCATTAATTCTACAGTATAGGTGCATTCCAACTCTCACTTCAAGAAAAGGAACCACAAGAAGATAAATCAGCTTGGTCATAACACATGGACAGATGACTGAAGAAGTCTGGCCACAATCGTCTTCACTCAGACCTGTTTATTGGTGTTGAGTGCCTTCATATTCAATTTATAACAAGGGGAAGGTTTTCTTGGAGGAAGAGGTTTGCCGTTGGGCTACCTTTGAGACAGAGTGTGGCCTGCCATTTTTTTGTGTCAGGAGCAACTTGAGAAACTGCAAGTTGCTTCTGGTGTGAGAGAATTGGCTGTCTGCAAGGACATTTCCCAGGGGATGCCTGAATGCTTTAATATTTTACCATCCTTGTGGGAGGCTTCTCTTATGTCCCCACAAGGGGAACTGGAGCTGACAGAGGGAGCTCATCCACGCTCGCCCCGTATTTGAACCTGTGACCTGTCGGCCTTCAGTCCTGCTAGCACAGGAGTTTAACCCACTGCGCCACCAGCTTGCCATAATCACTTCAGTGGTGATTCGAACTCTGGTTTGCACAGTCCAACATCCAAACCACTGGACCACACTGACTTATCTCAGTATGAATTGTAGTCCTTTTTATGTGATGGCAAATATCACATTCTAAGGAGCTTGTGCAATGTTATACAAATGAGACTACCCTCATTTTGGGCATGTGCAACTCAGTATGCTGCTAGTTTTGCTCCTCCTTCCCTTTCTCTGTGCAGAAGTGAAAAGAGTGAAGGGCTCTTCGGTGGCACTTACAATGGCTACCTGAGTTCACTGAGCATATTACTATGTCTGGGTGGTGTTCTTGGGACAGGGATGCCATGGAAAAGGAATGTCAGCTGCCATCTCTACCACTGACGGGAAATATTGGGGAATTTTCTCCCCAATAGCAGATTAGAGGGACCTTGGTGGATTCAATCAAGTGTTCAGGCTGAAGACACAACAGCTCTCTGTGGATGTGACAGAATGCAAAGAGCAAAAAACTGGAGAGCATTCAGTGAAATCCATGAGAGAAGAGGAAGACAGTTT